AGACGTCTTTAAGAGATCTCTTATTTACATAGAAATTAGAGATAATAATAGCCCAATCAGCATAAAATATCAAAAGATAGTTATTAAAAGATATTTTTTAGCGAAAGAAAGATTTTGAAAAAGATTTTAAAAGATCTCTTTCAGTTGTCTTTTCTACAAAATAAAAAGATGTATATAAAACATCTTTCAGTTTTGTCTAAAAGATGACTTTAAAAAGATATCTTTTCGTTATTTTAATGATTATTTTTTCGACAAAGCGAGAAATTGACTAAAAACTATCTTTTTATCTTAAAATCCAAAAGAACAAGGTAACCGATACCTTCCGCGGTTTACGTGGTCATTATGCGAGACTACCGCCAGATGGACGCAGCGAAATTTTATTTCTCATAAATAAATTAAAACTGTCGCTAGATTACATAAATTTCGGACAAGTTAATTTAAAAAATATGCGTTATCGATTAATAAAAAATTCATGCAGATTTTATCTGATTGATCAACAATGACAATAGACCTTAAATTTGATGTGGCATAATTGGCTACTAACATAATTAAATCATATTTTAGTAACTAACACATTAATAGGACACAAATATTTGATCTTTCTTCCTAAAATTACTATTTTATTTATTAGAAAGTCTATCTTATCAAACATTTAATATGATACCAACAAGACAGTTGTCCATATTATGTACATACAACCATATATGACAACAAGTATTTTCATGGCCAACTCATTCTTCGGATTCATTCGTCGCTTGATTATTTTCTTTGGGGACATCTAAAAAACAAAATCTATCGCAAACCATCGACATTTAAAGACATGAAAAATCATAAATCGTTAGAACATAATATTAATACAGTAATAACTCCAGAAACATTTGAACATATCATTCGAGTTCATCGATCGATTATCCACTTATTGATTGTAACAGATAATATTTTAAATATTACTTACATTTTTCAATAAAAATAATATTATTTTGTAAAACATATTTTCTCGCATTAAATAATAATTTTTTTTTCACATTGCGCTTACTGGCGTCTTTTTAGTTTTTCTACTTTTATACACATTGTAAAGTAATTAAGTATTAAATATTGATTTTTATGTATAAAAGTTGTTTCATTTCATGCATTGTTTTACCTTGGATTCTACCTTTTTTTTATTCGTTGTTAATTTTAAAGAATCTTTTTATATTAACACTCTCTTTATTTTTGCACTGAAAAGTGTTATTTTATACATTTATATATATAGTAATAACACGCGGTTTATATACACACACACA